ACAAACATAATATTTCGATTTTGTTGTCTTTTCAAAAAATAATAAAAATCGAAATGCTCTCTTTTTGATTCTTCAAATGAGTATACAGAAAATAAAATTATGACATATTGTGTGTACATGTAATATGAACACCGTATCATATGTCATTCATTTAGAAATCATCAAAAAACTCCAAGGTCAAGGTCAAAGGGTCAAAGTTCTTGGTATCCAATGAAATGTCTTTTCACGAGGATTATATATATGAAGTATGAAAGCTTTAGCCCTTACCGTTCAAAAGTTATGGTCAAGGATAAAAAATTTTCATAAGTACGGAAATCTCCAAGGTCAAGGTCAAAAGGTCAAAGTTGTTGGTATTCAATGAAAGGAGTTTTTTCAAAAAAAATATACATGTGAAATATGAAAGCCCGAGTACATGTATTTATCATTCAAAAGTTACGGCCAAAGTAAAAGTTTGGAATTTTTGTGTAAAAGTGGGTCAAACTCCAAGGTCAAGGTCAAAAGGTCAAATTCGGTGGTACCCAAAGAAAGGTCTTATCACAAGGAATACACATGTGAAATATGAAAGTCATCGATCCACTAAATCAAAAGTTATGGGCAAGGTTAAAGTTTTTGTGACGGACAGACTGACAGACTGACGGACAGACGAATGAGATTTAATATCCCCTCGCTTTCGCAAAAGCGGGGAACAACAATACATGCAAAGAGGGATAACTCTATATCACATTTTCATATCAAATAGGAAAAATAAAACACATTTAGTAGAAATAAACTGTTGTTTGAATTTGTAATATGACGCAATTTAAATATACGTTATATTCAAAGTTCTTGCATTGATCAGTATTTTTCTGTTTCTCGAAAATCTCCCCCTGGCATTGCGAGGATGCCTTTCTCGATCAAGAATAATTGAATTCATTTCATTGATAACAGACTGTACATACATGTATTATGCTAGGAAGTATTTATTAAGACGATAGCTTCAAGTTTAATTGTATACGCGTCAAATCGATATGTCAGTATTTTGTAAATTGAAAAAAAGGAAGGATCTAGGATCAGAGTTACATACATTTACGTGTATCCTCCGGCTCGTCTGATCTAGAGTCCCAGATTAATCACACGACTTACAATATTTCTATTTCTGTCTGTTTTTATTTAACAAAAAATAAGATATTAAGTAAGATGTGAGAATATCCATCGAGATTTCGTAACAATTTACGACAAAGCTTTCATAATAAGCCTTAGATCTGGTGAAGAACAGATTTCTACAGAATTATTTTTGCTTAATATTGTAAAGGAGAGTGGTATTTATGCACCAAAGTCCTCCTAGAGGTAGAACTGTAGCTCTCCGGAAAACAAATTATTGCACACAAAAAAGTTGCGCTATTTCTCGATTTATTTCTCTATTTAAACTGCCATCTCATCAAAATGGTTACTCCTCTCATTTGCATTGCGTATTGGCAGTTCTAACCTGAAATGCAACTAACACTTAACTCTCCAACAAAATTTTGCAAAATATAAGTTTATACATGTATTATATTAAATAAAAATCTACAAAACTCCTTCACTCATTTTTGTTTTTTTCAGGCCTTACCAGAACCCGTATTTCATATCCACTTAGACTTGGAAATTAAAATCATGTTTTAGAGCTGCATAAAGTCAATTACATGATGAAACGATATGCTTCTAAATATTTTATCTGTGGTAAACTGTCAAAATTTTCTCATATGTCAGGCAAAACATTTTATAGTGCAATTTATTCTCTGCCTCTTGAAATGTTCATCCTGAGCCCCTACTTACAATCCGGATCAGATCAAATTTAATTGCGTGCAAAAATACTTGATTGACATCAGATCGATAAAAAAAAGAATTGGATAACAAAAAATGCCTTTACCTGACTTCTTTGAACTGTATGTTTTTGAATCTGCCTTTTCTCTTTCCTTTGGTTCTGATATTGTGATGATATATTTACAAGTTATTACAGTTAAGGCCCGACGATACGTTCCCCAGAAATCTGTTTTGTTTATCTTCGTAAGATATGTCAAGTATTTAAAATTATTTTTATGTTCCCCAAACGAAGTTGGGGAACATATTGTTTTTACTCTGTTTCTTATTATTATTATTTTTCTTCTTCCTGGGCACTTTTTTGTCCGCGAATGATCTCATAAACTACACATCCAACTAAGGTGAAATGTTTTTAGGGTCAGTAGACATGTTATGTAGATTTGCGGAACGAAGGTCATTTTGCGCGCACGTGCTTGCAAGAGCGTGCACGTGCAACACGTGAATGACCAATATAATGTATATTGCCGTAACTTTTCTATTTTTTGATTAATTTTTTTGAAACTCATAATGTAATGATGTATTAGTAGTATAAACAAGATGACGTGGTCAATATGGCAAGATCTCACGCGCATGCGCTACGCTCTGATTGGCTGAAACTTAAGTCTCAATATCTTTCTTGTTTTTTGACGAAATCCTTTGAAATTTTGAACATAGCCATGCATTAGGATGTCCTACAAAATGATATATTGCAATTATCATGAAATCACGTGCATGCACGTGCGCTGCAATCTGATTGGCTGAAACTTTAAACAGCTATAACTCCCTTGGTTTTCAACCAAACAGGGTGGGATTTGGAACATAGATATATAATGGACTTCTACAAGAAGGTATGGTCACCCTGCACATACACACACGTGCGTGTACGTGCGCTGCAATCTGATTGGCTGAAACTTTAAACAGTTATAACTCCCTTGGTTTTCAACCAAACTGGGTGGGATTTAGAACATAGATAGATGTAATGGACTTCTACAAGAAGGTATGGTCACCATGCTTATGTATGCACGTGCGCGCACGTGAAATGGGTAAAATAAAAAATACACTTGAATGAGCGTTTTTTTTAAATACTTTTAGATTAAGTACTTTAATATTTAGCATATTAAAATATATAGATTGTGTAGAGAATATGATATGGTCATTACGCACATGCATTAACATGCGCAAGTGTGCAATGATAAAATTTGAATGAACATGGTACACTTCTGGGTAAACGTTGTTAAAGTCTCAAATGCATAAAGTTTGACTTATTTAATTACGCTTACAGGGAATATGACTATAAAAGGGAGTTGGGGAGCGTTTGGGGAACATCTGTAACGGTCCCCGTTACAATTAGCACTAGTTTCCTTGTGATTTCTGAATTGGTTTCTAATTGTCATTTAACAATTACATTCAATATGCTGAAGGAAGATGGGTGAACAAGGCGGGCAAAATGCCTATAGCGTCAGATATGAAGAAATCATTTTCAATATGTGAACTGAGTAAACTATTTAAATTAAGTTTTCATTTTTGAAAGAAGATGGGTGGATAAGACGGGCGAAGTGCCTATAGTGCAACAGATAAGAAGTGAAAATTTTAATCTCAATTCAATCCAAATTTCATTTGATATTTCATCTAATATTAAAGTATTCTTTATGAAAAACCTCTACAATTTACAAAAATATCACAAAAGAAGAAAATATTTGCCTATGAAAAAGCTTACACACACTAAAAAGAACACAAACGATCATTTTCTCGTACTTTAACAACATTTTTCAATATGAGTGGCTCTTCGCTCCATTTTTTTGAAAGATGATCCTAAAAGTTTGCATTAAAATACACATTTTTTGGTTTACAAAAACATGGAGCGAAGACCCACTATACCTTAAAAGAACACTTTTGTGACACAACATTCGCACCTTTTCGAGAAATACTTCAAGTCCATTAAGTCGTGGGTCATATCACAAACATGATTTAAATGCCCAAAATCACCATGAGTGATGTAGCATAGTGGTTAACGCGTTAGTCTCAAAGCAGTATGCTATTGATAAGTCGGATTTTTATTGCCAGGGTTCGAATCCCACGAATACCATGTATTAATTTTTTTGCGAGACTTTTTTCTGTCAGAAAATTTTTTTTTCTCATAATTTCAAAAAATTCAATAATTAGAAGCTAATTGAAATACTCAAATCACATAGAGAATATGATTTCTTAATATCGGACGCTATAGGCATTCTGCCCGCCTTGTTCCCCCATCTTCTTTATGAAATTATGATATAAAAACTTTTTCTAAGAGAAAAAAATCTTTTAAAGAATTGTATTTCTTAAAATTATTAGATGGTATTCGTGGGATTCGAGCCCTAGCAAGAAAAACCCGACGTATCAATAGCAAACTGCTTTGAGACGATTGCGTTAACCACTATGCTACATCACTCATTTGGGCATTTAAATCATGTTTGTGATATGACACTCGACTTAATGGACTTGATGTATTTCTTGGAAAGATGCGAATGTTTTGTCATAAGAATGTACTTTTATAGTGGGTTCCACTCCATGTTTTTGTAAACCAAAAAATGTGTATTTTAATGCAAACTTTTAGGATCATCTTTCAAAAAAATGGAGTGAAGACCCACTCATATTGAAAAACTTTGCTAAAGAATGAGAAAATGATCGTTTTTGTTCTTTTTAGTGTGTTTAAGCTTTTTCATAGGCAAATATTTTAAGTCTTTGTGAGATTTTTGTAAATTGTAGAGATTATACATAAAGTATACAATATAAGATGAATTATCAAATAAAATTTCGCACGCTTTATCCCCCCATCTTCTTTTTGATTTTGTCAGTTTAAATTTTTTTTCCAAAAGGACTATATGGGCAGCACCATCCTCTGGTATCTTGTACAAACACCTGGTAAGGTAACTCATTTTTGTGAGCTAACATGTAAAAGAAGCATTACCTCAATGACGAAATCTTGGAAAAAATTATATATTATTTAGGAATGATATAATTCCTAGACTATAGGAATTGTCTGGATTAAAGGACAAACGATTAAAGGATTATCTGTCCTTTATCACACAAAAATATTGACAGATATTTTAAAAGTTTTACTCAAATTTACCCCTTTCGATTTGTAGAGATTTTTTAAAGTTTAAAGTTTCCCCGACTTTTAGAACAAGAAGTACCAAAAAAACTCATTTTATAAAATTTTATTTGCACTTGGATGCAACATAAATATATTTTAACAATAAATAAAACAAACATCAACAATAAACAAGTATATCACAGACAACAGACATTTAACAAATAACAGTTTAGCACTTGACTTTACATCATGTTCCATAATGTTACTTGTAGAACCATGTAACGTTTCTGTACAAGTATTCACTGTTCTTAGAAAGTTTATGTTTTGTACCACAGAAAGTATGCACAGTGAAAAGGTACTGTCCTACAAAGCATCGCTTGGATAGTACGTTCCAGGGCTTGGACGGAAAAGTTGGAATCGGTGCTTTCTACGTTGTTTAATACGCAAAAGGACACTCAGAAAAGACGTTGTCCCATACTGCGACGCTTGGATCCGCCACTCCAGGACTTGGATTTGGACCGGAAATGACGTAAGTCGTCGGAGAAATCTTTGTGAAGCATCGGTGTGTACCCCTGAGGCTCACATAAAGTCTGGAATAAAAAGAAAAAGGCACGGTAAGTAATGCAGAAATTCTAAATCACCTTTTAAATGATAAAATATTTCATAATAACGTTATGAAATTGTAATAATTTTTACATTAAATTTTGTATTTTTTTTCTTTTTTCTTTTTTTTTTCTTTGGCAGGTACAACAAACAAAGGAACTTGCATTGAAATTTTTTAAATCTTTTAAATAATCTATAAATTAAACATTTATAGAATTTTACCTTGTGTGTCTCGTAGAAGGCCTTGAACCCGTTGTGCATGACGTAGACTTCCGGGAAGTTGAGATAGGGGTAGATCTCCTTGTTCAGGTTACGGTCTGCCTCCCGCACTTTGCGACACCTTCATAATCAAAGGCATATTTTATTAAACATGCAAGAAAAGAGATATTAGAAAGAGGTATTTATATTAATTTTCTCGTTCATCTACTTTAATTGAACTGAAAAGCTTTGAACATTGTATAAAAATTATGATATTGAAATGGTTTACTTACATTCGTGGGCCCCTTTCGGAGGAAAACTCGCAGTAGAAGATGACGATGTGACGTTTTCCGGCAGCCGTATCGCGCATGCTCTGGTGTTGCTCCAGGATTCTTTGGATACCTTCTGGTCGATGAACGTTAATGGCACCCTATAGAGGCAAAAACGGACATTTTTATTAATGAACACCACAAACTCACAAAGTATACGTAGTCTTAACAATTTATTTATTTTTTTAATAAATTTATTTTTGCAAATTTATTTATTTCATTTTATTTATTTATTTTTTTTTTGCTTAACTTAACTTTAGAAATCAACGAAAAGAAAACTTACAGGCACGTGACCGCCTTGGTACTCGTATGGGTATCTGCAGTCGACAATGAGGCAACTCCCAATGACGTCATCGTACTTCCCAGAAATGATGTCAACAACCTGTAAACATTACAAATCAATAATAAAAAATCTATTTAAGTGTTGATTCTTTTCTGAAAAAAATATAAATGTTTTGTGTTTATTCAAACTTATCCTTTACTCATAAAAACTTAGTATCGGTTTTTTTATTGCCTATCTCGTGTAATTAATGAGCAGTCAAGTCTTTTATTGCAATAACAGTATTTCTTACCGTATCATTTGTGATGCTCTTAAGGTCGGAGTGCTTGCCGGGAATAGTGGGAAGACTGCATGTCTGGCTTCCGTCTCCGATAAGATCCGACGCATCCACCATTCTTCCCACGACAGCTTTAATCTCATCTTGGTCACCTCGAGGATTGTCCTGTTAAAGTAATAAATAAATTTTAATAAAAAATATCCTTTACAATTGATAATATTCTACGGTATTTAATCATGATTAAATCTTCTTACTTTTCAGTCAATTAATTTTATTTTTAATTATAAGGCAGGAACATAAATAAGCTTGTCAAGAAATGAAATTTACAAAAATTTTCATGAAGTGAGCAGCCAATTTTACTTAAAAATAACTTACACCAAAAGATAGGGACTTCTTGAGAGTTCGTCTACCGTCGGAAAACTTCGTCCGTTTCCGCAGACTGCCGTCGTCAGTTTCCTCAAACCTCTCGGATCTTTTCAGGGGTCGTCTCATATGGATGGAGGGCGAAGGCGAAATGCTGGCAAATGGTCGCTCTAACTGAAAGTAAAACGAAAAAATTAATGAGGATACAGATTCCATTAACGCTTATCTTATATAATTGAAGACAAATTATTTAATTAGATAACTTTTTTGAATAAGAGTAAGCTTACCAATGATTGGACGGAAGACCTGGTGCCCATGCTTGCTTCCTCAACTGTCGTCAACTGAAATAAAATGAAATGTTATTCCATTGCTTAAAAAAAATGGAATAAAATATATTTTCTTTAAAGTTTGTAGGCAGTGATTTTATATAATTTAGTGGTCGATAATTAATTTTTCATTTGAACAGAAAAACAATGACTTTATATGAAAAAAAAATTAAATAATGTTTAAATTCAATTTCGTTATGTAATTTAAGTCAGATTTTGAATTTCAGTTTTGTTTCTTAAAATTGATTAACTTTCCAATTTTTCATGGAATAATCTTAAAAATCGGTCATAGGAAAACAATATCTTTTATAGAATACTTTTATTTACTTTTTCAAGGAAGGCTTTTAAAGAGCATAAAAATACGATCATACCTCGTCCATCCCAAGTCCTGAGTCCTCGTCCTCGAAGAGAGCCTGTTTGACATCAGAGAAGAGAATGCGCCGAGGAAGAGGCAGGCACCCGAGGTCGAAGTCCGAGTCCATAACTGCATCTAACTTTCCAGGAGTGTACATGTTGATGTTCGATAACTACAAAAAGAAATTAATTTGTAGAAATGAGATTAAGAAATTTAATAAAAATTACTTCAATCTAAAATCCAATTTTTATTCCTAACTTAAGAATACTTAATTCCAGAATTACAAAAGCACTCGTTTAAATATTGAACAAGTCTTACAAGTTGATTTTGTTTTTTCTCATTTACCATTCAAATTAATACTGATTTAGAATATCCAAAAAGAATCTTTTTTATAGTCCAGCTATTTTCCGATTCTTTGACGCGGAAATAATTTTTCGTCTGGTAAATTTTGACATGTTTATGTGCGGTACTGAAAACTTAATCCTTTAATCCCTACCCGTTAACTAGCTTTGGCCTCGACGCCGAAATTACTTGAACAAATTATCGATTTTACGGTAGAGGTGCGGGCAATATTGCACGATAGCGGTGCAATATTGCCTTATGGCCTAAGTTAGAACGTCCGCAGGCAAGGTGCAATATATTCACAAACAATGTTATCATATGTTTTACAGATGAATTAACTTAAGTAACATGAGATGCTTTCTTTGAACCGTCTTACAGATTATATTTTACAGTTCATTAAAAGAAATTAGAATATTTCAAAGAAAACAATTCTTAATTATTCTACCATTTGTTTCCTATAGATATTATTTTGATTATTCTTTATTTGCTTAAAACATACGTATTATCACAATTTTCTTGAAGTTCAATACAGAAAAGCAGATTGGAGTGGTATGGCGTTTCTATACATGAAAAACAGCGCCTAGTTTATAGAACGGATTTTGCTTGGTATGGCGCTTCTACACATGAAACATAACAGACTTTATAACTTTATACGTGCAAATATACAGATAAAGATAGGACATACGAAGAATGAATAACAACATCTTTTCTTTTCTTAACTTAAAAGCAAAATGCAAAAATTTACCGAATTTACAAAGCTCAGAAAAGTTTTGTACACTCAGTAATTGGACTAGTTTGATACGGATGGTTTTTTCCAGTAATTACTTTTAATATATGGTATTAATTATATTTATTTCTCAAGTCCTTGTATAGGGGACAAATTAGAACGAAATGAATTTCATCTTCTATGATGATTTTACAAAATTCCTTTTCAATATTTCTATGACGTCCAGTTTCAATTGCAACGTTATGGGAAGACCAAGACGAAGATATACACGACGAAAATATTCACCGAGAAAAAAATTAAATGAATAAAATTCTGTATTGTTATATTCCTTGTTTTAATTAAAATTGTTTCATTTTAGGACAAGAATCGGATGCATGGTTTAATGCATGTACTTTTGGGGGGGGGGAGGGGTTTATTTCGATTAGTTGTATAGTGTCTTTCTGATATATTTTCTATTTATCAATAAAAATATGCATTTTGACTACATAGTAATGCATATTTTTATTGATAAACAGAAAACATGTCAGAAAGTACATCAAATCTCAAGCTTAAAATTTATTAGCTTTCATACATCAAATAATTCAATAAATTAAAATTTATTAGCTTTCAATGAAGATTTATACACCAAATTTTATTGCCTTGACCTGACAGAAGAAAACGTCGGGATAAATATCTTTTAAAAGAAAGACAGAAACTGGTTATGACAGTGTAAAGAAACCAGTTTCTGTTTTACGACACGTTTGACTCTTGTATTAACAGATATAGTAACTATGACATTATATAATTTGAAATTTTTAACGGTTTTTAAACGGGTTTTGGTCGATTTGGTGTCGTAAATATTTACAACATTGTTAAACATGTATACATGCCTTAATAATGTGAATTCGAATTTAGGGATATTCTGCAATTCATTGCAGCTATATACATAGAAAATGAATACACGGATTTAAAAATTTTACCTTGCATAATTTTTGAAAATTAATGTAAGATTTGTACATGTGTAGCTGTAAACAATGTCTTAAAAAATAAAAGAAGGGAGCAAGATATAAAAGTTCTTTTTGTAATTGTACATGTGTATATTTATGAATGTTTTATTCCATTTTGGGGGCGGGGTCAATTTGTGTGGGTTGGGCAGAGACATTCATAATAACAAATAAACTTATCATTTAATCTGGTTTTAAAAACTAACATAAATTTATTAATTGGCAATATTAACTATTATTGATCGCCCTTTTACACAAACTTTTATAAATGCTGTTACCATAGTCAACGAAAAGGGAGTGTGTCCCGAACATTTCCACCCTTTAATCCGCATTTTTTATACTCTTGGTATTGAATTTTAACTAACTTAATTTTAAAAAAAAAAAACGCTCAATTATTGTTACTTCGTGAAAATAAATAACATTTCAAAAGCTAAGTAGAAATTTCTTTCAAATACATTTCTGTATATATTTAGTGTGCACACTAATTTGCGCTTGGTTGTTTAAGGGTAGTCTTAGAAAAACAAACAATTTATATTTTGATTTTTTTGCCCCCTTCCAAAACAACAAAAAAGAAAAAAGAAAAAAAAAGAAAAGAAAAAATGCTCAAAAAAGTTTGTTTATTTTTTTAAAAGGTGATAAAATGCTCATTTTTTTAAATTGTCATTCTTATAATGCTCACACAACAAGCATTTACCTGTACATGCAAAGAGGGATAACTCACTTTTAGATTCTCTATTTTGTTGACAGAAATGTCATTTGAGTCTGGAGTATGACACAAATGAAATTTAAATAGCATTTTTGAAGTTCTTGCATTGAACACCATTAATACCATAAGTATTAGAAATAGTATTTCTAATTCTCGATTTTTTAATTCATAGTATTTTGTAATGTTATTTTTCATCCATAGTATATGTCAAAAACATTACAGAATAAAGATGACCATGGTCTGGAGTCAACACACTCAGGACTCCTGGCATTGCGAGGATGCTTGTTCAATCAAATAAATTTGAGCAATAATTGTATTTAATTTGTTAATTGGTAGATTTAGCTTATTTATAAAGTAGTGAGGTTCAAGTTTGTTTATGAACAAGTCAAAGTGCTATTTTGTCGCCAGTTTTTTGAAAATGGAAAAAGCTATGTCTAGTAGGGGTCGCGTTACTTGTATCCTCATCTGATCTAGAATTATTTTTTTATATAAAAAATGGGGTAAAATTTTGGTGAGTTTAGTCAATTTCTTAAAAAAAAAAAAATCAACAGATTAATAAGATAAATCAAAAGATCATAATAATATTTTTTAACACTAAGATTAATAAATTTTTAAATAATTTATCTTGTATACTTTAGTAAAACATTATCTAGATTTTTATAGTGTGCGTTGATGCACCCAACTAACACAGTTCCAATATATGGAAAATATAAACATAATACAGAGTAAAATTATAAACATTAATTCTTGATCTTTATAAAAAATTTTAAATGGACTGCAAATTTTGTGAAAGATTTATTATTAAATTTAAGATTTAGAACTTAATTTATGGATTATACGTACATGTAAATTAAATTTTTAATTAAGTTTTTTTTTTGGTGAGATTTTTTAAGGTAAAATAATCTTATGTTAATATAATATAAATCACGATACTTACTCGACTAACGTCTTCAGGAGAAATGATAAAGGGAGACAAGAAAGATGGCCTTATATAGGAATTCATCTATAGACACTGACAGCGCATCAAATTATTCACTCGTTATTCTCACCTCACAAATCGACACTGAAGCCCAAGCTAGGGGCAGCTACCCCTCAGAATTGAATGGTTTAACAGAGTTCACCCCCCTGCCGTCAGCAAGCCGAGGGAGCTAACGAGCTGCCAGCGGGAGACGGACAAACAAATGATTTTTTTTAATGAGCCCCATAATGTGTAACGTTATACGAGAATACGCCCAAGCTATATGCCAAAAATAAAACAAAAGCTTCTATGCATAAATGAACTCTTACCGTCCAAATAAACAAGTGTTTGCTTTTTTTACAATATATTTATGATTTATTCCATTTCATTAATTTGAATAACAATTTAAAAATAAAATTAAAAATCGCACATGCTTGAGGATAGCAATTCCTACTATATTACCTATATGTCTTACTAATCAAGAAAACAAATATTATCATTGATTATCTCATTATATAGTATATGATAAATCGTCTTATTAAAAAAAATCAATAAAAGATCATAAATGGAGCAACAAATAAATTTAAACGCATCTTCTTACATTCAATTAAATATAAAAGAAAAACAGACTGTGGTAAGCGATACGTGTGTAATTCATCGCACATACATGTACATTATTTCTAAAATTAAAAAGACACCTCGCCCCCCCCCCCCCCAAAAAAAAAAAAAAGAACGAAAGAAAGAAAAACAACACCTTTCTAAGTTGTCATGATGGTCAAAGAAATTATATATACTTTTTATCATTTTAACGAAAGAAAAGATAAATAATATATAATTCACTTTTTAACTTTGAGCATTTTATGATTGATTTAAAATAATTATGATGATTTTATACAAATATAAAATATATGTCATATACAGTGTACAAATTAACAAACATAAATTATTTTGTAAATCCCATAGAAATGAGTATAATCCAGAAAATGACCTTATCATAAAATTTTCAATCTCCCATGGCCATGGTCATGATGAATTGCATATATACTATACAATTTTTATACATAGACAAATAAACAAGGAGATGATTAAAAACATGAAGCTATGAATATTCATAAGTCGTGATCCTTTTCTAAGGTAAAAAAAAAATGTGGTTCATGAATCTAAACACTATCTTTCAGTTTATATGTTCCCACAATTACATGTAATGTTTAGTAATCGCGCTTTTAGTTATCATATTTTCAATTTAAAAAAAGTTATGTGCTTACAATTGTTTTAAGGTAACTACGATCAATAGGGTACATCTTAAAAAACAAACTGAATAAAAAGAGTAAAGCGAGTCCTTCATATAATTCAAAAGAACTTTACAAAATCTTAACTGAATCATATTTTACGCAAATTCTCCAAAACAATCTGCTAATATTATTAAAAAAAAAAAAAAAAA